AGGACAGGGCAGGCAGGTTGCTCTAATGCTGGGTGATCTGCTGCAGGTGCCAGCTCCAGTCTCAGCGGAGGCATTGCAACTGGGAGAAGGTGCAGGTACCGACTGACTTCATTTATTGGCGAGGCGAAGGCAGGGAGCACAGCCTGCCCCGCGCCCCGTGGGGTCCCACGCGGGTCCCTCGCAAAGCACAGAGCACTGAGCATCCCTGCGCTCCAGGGCACCGCAGAGTCCCCTGGCACTGCAGGGTCCCTCGCAGGGACAGAGGTGGTCACCAAGGAATGGCTTTGCCTTCCCAGTTGAGCAGGGTGCCGCTGTGTTTCTCGGAGAGGGTGGCCAGCACAGACAGCAGCCCCCGCACGCTTGTGTCCACCGTCAGGGCAGCCCGCAACAAGGCTGAGTGAGGAGGAGGAAGGATGGAGACCCCACCCTCGCTCCCAGCCATCCCCCAGCACCCGCACGGCTCGAGCAAGGCTCCTTCCACCCACACCCAGCAGAGAGCCATGAGAAGTGGGGTGGCTCTGGTGCAGGATGGGTGGGCATCTGCACACTCCCTGATGGTGTGGGTGGAGGTGGCTCGGGCTGGGAAGCTACAGGCTTCAACCAACAGGACATGTAAAAGATCCCTGCTGCAAGAGGGATGCTCCCTGCTGCCTTCTCAAAGCACTGGGGCTGCAGGGACCCCTCCCACCCCAAAACAGGGATCCTGCAGGAGACCTCACGGACCCACAGCTCTTCAAGGAAGGGGGCACAGGATGGGGTGGTGCTGCTCCTCTCCTCCCTGCTCTGGTGGATTCAGGTTCTCCGCACATCTCCAGGATGCCCAAAGCCATTTCCCCCCACTGAACGGGCCTCAGGCTCACCATGGATTGCGCTGATGGGCAGCACCCACACGTTCTGCAGTGGCCCAGCACACGGATCCCTCCTCCCGAGAGCCATCCCAGCCCCTCGAGGCACCTCCCGTGCCACTGCAAGCCTGCAGGCTTGGGTCCCACCCTTGGGTCCCACCCTTGGGTCCCATCCTTGGGTCCAACCCTCGGACCTGCTCAGCTAAGACCCACCTCCTGGCCGCCTGAGTCGGTTTTCACCCAGCCGGGATGAAGTGCCACACAGAGGATCCTGGCCTCCCGGTACGTCAGCGCCTGGCACTTGGTGAGCATGTTGAGGGCAGCCTGGGGGATGGAGGAAGTGTCAGCCATGGGCAGCAAAAAGCTCCACGCACCAGACCCCCCTCCTATCGCTGCCTCACGGCAAGGGAGAAAAAGCAACGCCAGGCCGTCAGGAGACAGTTGTGTGTCCCCTGGGCGGGCAGCAGCCAGGCACGAGATGCCCAGGCACTCGGGCAGCGACCAGCACGGATGGGTCCCTCCATCCTGCCATCTCGGGTGCTGCCCTGAGATCTGGCCTGGCAAGGGGCAGGTCCAGCTCCACCGAGCTGGCGAGCACAGGCAGGTCCCCAGTCTCCGTACCTTGCTGCAGCGGTAGGAGATGACCGGCTGGAAGAAAGTCTGGGGAGTTTTCTCGATGGACCCCAAGATGGTGGAGATGTTGACGATGGCTGCCTTGCTGCAACTCAGCCCCTTTTCCGGGCTCTCCCGGGCAGCCTTCTTCAACAGGGGCAGGAACGCCTGGGGAGAAGCAACCTTGTGGTTTGCCTGTGCCTTGAGCCAGCCCCACTTATGGCAATGGCAACCTCAGAGCAGGGAGGATGAGGAGGAACAGTGAGAAGCCAAGAGAGCCCAGGTGTTTTGCTGCACTAGCCCTAGCACTGCCCCCTCCCTCCTGCAGCCCCAGGAAACCTGGCAAAACACTCCGACATCTCAATTGAAACCATGTAAAGCTGGGGCTACCCTCAAGCTGGGCTAAATTCCCCCGCCAGAGTGAGCTCCATCCCCAGACCTTCATCCATACCTGGGCCATCAGCGTCGGCCCCACCACATTGGTCCTGTACGAACTTATCATGTCTTCAGCGTCTACTGTCTCCAGCGATGACGCCGGGCTGTAGATGCCAGCGTTGTTTATTAGCAGGTTCAAGCCTGTGCCATTCAGCTTCCCCTCCACGATCTTCGCAGCATCAGTAATAGCCGAGGGATCGGCAACATCTGCAGTGGAAGAGAAGAAGGTTTGAGAGCCATGGGGTCCACCCGGGGGGTCTGGGGAGAAGAAGGAGGTGAAGATGCTGAGGAAGATCCCAACCTGTGATGTCTTCCATCTGTGGGCACCAGATGGTGCTGTGCAACCAGCTCAGTGCACCCTGACACCCACAAGCCCCAATCCATCCCCAAACCCCTCCTTCGCCATGCACAGGGGGACCCCCCAAACCCCTCCTTCGCCATGCACAGGGGGCCCCAGCTGACGCTGGCTGAAGGC